TGGTATGATGGGATGGGAAAAGAGTGTCTTATCAAAGTGTGCCTTTTATAGAGACTGAGACTTGGGACCCTCTTATAGAAAAGGGAACTGTATAAGGACATATTTTAGAGACATGAAGGAATTGTTTGGGTTAGAATACCGTTGTCTTTAAAGCATTGTAGCCATGTCCATTACTTTTTAACTTTGTAACTGCAAGTAGCTGCCAGCTGACGTAAATACTACAAAATCTGGATGTGTCTGGCTCCGCAACTAGTTAAGCTTGCAAAAATGCTGAACTCTAGGTCTAGAATAAGAGGATGGGAAAGTGTGTTTGAGGAAGCATAAAGGGTGACAATGGGGACTTTCATAATGACTATGATGTATTTCTTAATGAAAAATAGGAGCAAATAGTAAAACTGTTCATATAAGCCTGGTAGAAAAAAAATCTGTCAAAGTATAAATAAAGACTGCTCGAGCTATTTGGGGCCACTTGAGCACCTGGTGGTCAGAATCTTCCTTGTGCTGATGCCCCTTCCCCATCTCAGGACCTGAATCTGAGTGGAGGCTGGACCCCGGCATAGCCTGATACAATGAGTGTGTTTGTGCTCTTCATTTCTACCATTACAGCTTTGCTTTTCTTGTTTCATCTTGCCAAACTCCCATACAGATATTCCATTCCTGGGCCGTTACTCCTGAGTACCCTGATAACGGCTACATCATCTACTCATGAAACATTTCCTCCCATGGTGGACATTGCCTTCTGTTACCTTACCAGTAGAATCTTTGGGGAGAACCAGCTTTCATTACATAAAAGATGTAAATACCTTGGGTATTTAGTGGTCCAAAATTTTTAGCATCTGAGAAAATGCCAAAAGGGTTTGTAGTCAGGGAACAAAATTTTAGCCCTTTCTTTATTGTTATTCCTTCTTTAGTTTGGAGATTCTGGGAGTTCTGAACAAGAACTAGGTAAATGTAAAAACCAAGTGCAATTTGGACGTTTGATAGTAAGTTTCTTGCAGGTACTAGAAGGATTTCATAGTCATGACTCTACAGCTATTAGGTGGAGAGCACAGGTGGTCTGGGGTGTGATGAGAGTTAGATTGGATTCAAATCTATGTCCTAACAACTACCAACTTTGAGAGCCCAGCCAAGTGTTCTAGTCTGTTATAAAAAAATTGTAATTCATTGTTAGGATTCTGCCACTCCAGCTATATGACTGCATATGCGCAGTTCAGTAGCTAAGTAAGGGGTCTTATGTCTTATGTCATCAGTGTGCTGTGTGATTGTGCAAATGTGTGCTGCAGAGTCATGCAATCTTGCATGTGTGGTGTAGCTCCGTGAGCCCCCTGCGCATGTGCCGGGGAATCCTTAAAAGCCGGACACAGACTCCTCCTCTCTCCCCTTCTGCTCTCCACCCCCACTCTCTGTCTTTCTGCACGTGCCTCTCCCCAGGCCTGGTTACTCTTTTCTGTTATCCCCCACCTCCTCCTAACAAAGCTCTGATACTGGGTTTTGTCATGCCTCGTGCCTCCTGAGCTTTCTCGCTTGGTAACCAGTGCTGCATATTTAAAAACCAACATTCATACCTTACAGAGTCCTTGTGAATTAAGTGTGTTAGACACATGGTAGGGATGAATACCTGGAATGTAATAGGGTGTTATTATCCATTTATTTCTACAATAGTAACCTTTCAGTTATCCAGAGGTGGAGGTAGGAAGATCCGGAGTTCAAGGTCATTGTGAACTTCATAGCAAGGTTGAGGCTAGCCTAGATTGCATGAGGACCTGTCTCAAAACAGAACAAAACAAAATATTCTTTACAAGTACTGATGTTTCTACATTGAAAGCCAGGCACGTTCATACAACTAGATGAGATCTCTAAGACTGGGCAGACTGAGCGAAGGCACAGTCCATTCTGTCTTGTTGGTTAGAAACAGATGTTGGAGTAAAGTGACTTGAGCTAAGAGCCTGGGTCTTTTCTTTCTTACCTGGATCACCTGATGCCCTTAGAAGATTACGTTCATTATGTGGGAAAATTGTTCAGGTGCCTTTAAAACTGTGCCAGTTCTAGAGCACATATATGTGGAAAATGAAATGTGCCCTGTGGGGGGCCCAAAACAGTTTGACCACGCAACTGCCATGACAGGCTTAGAGGCCCAGACACAGCTTCTGTAACAAGCTTACTGGCAGGTAACACCCAGATCCAGAAAAAGCCATAAGCTGACTCCACCCAGGGAGGGCCTGCATCTAAGGGGAAATACCTGACATTTCAAACATTTCCTATATCCCTAGACAAATGTCAGCCAATCAGGGTCCTGAACCCTGGAAATCCCTCACCCCAACCTCTGCTATGATAAAACCCTACCCGTTTGGGCTCTGGGCTCTCTGCTCTCATCACTGTGTTGGACAGAGAGTCCAAACTCCGAGCTTGAAAATAAAGGCTCTTTACTTTTACATATGGGATTTGGTCTCCATGATAGTCTTTTGGGGGGTCTCTTCCATCCAGGCATAACATGCCCAAGATATCTTGTCACATCTCATGCATCTTCCTTCTGTGTGGAAACAGATATAGGGTATGCTTTGGTCTAGCCATTTGGGGACATTTCTCTATTCCCTTTCTGATGTAGAGCACTGCATTTGCAAAGCAATTCCCTCATAATCCAAGTAGGTTTTGAATCCTTTGGGAGAAATTTAACAAATAATGCTGACTACGACACTGTCCACCGAAGACCTATGCTGTGCCTCCCGAGAGTATAATTATACCACTGATTTAATTCCTAAGACAGGGAACATGTTCATGGTTTTGTGACACAGGGGCAGAAACAGACTCGGCACTTGTGAAGCCATCGATCTCAGACTTTAGTATGTGCGAATCGTCTGGTGACTGGATACAACCACAGATTCCCCATTGCTCCACCTCAGGGAACTAGACTCAACAGGTCTCAGATGATTCGGAGGAATCTGTATTTTAGTCAACTGTCTCTGATTTGGGGGCTAATGGTGCTGGTGGTGCAGTGATGACACAGAACACCTAGGATTACCTGGGGTCTTTTGGAGACAAGCTCTAGGGACAGTTCCTACTCAGCAGATACAGTGGCTGGCTTCTGGAGCACCGTATTGAGCCATAAGTCAGCATGCTTCATTCTCATGGCTGTTTCTGCCCTAGGGCTGGGGCATGTCTAGGCTGTTTACACCATTCCATTGTCAAAGACTTTTAATGTCCATGAAATACAGTAGTTCTAAAAACAAATGGGTGAGAAGCGGCTGGCTGCCGGCCAGCGGCTGGCCTCAGCTAGTGCTGAACTTGTTGGAGGATCAGCTGCCGGTTCCCAACTTCATTGTTTTCTATTGTCACTGACAGGATTCCAGCTTACTCTTTTCTGCAGATCTAGGCATCACGTGGTAGCAGAATGTTTTCATTGTGTGTGCTGAAGCTTGACGTCCTATTAGTTTGGAAATCCTAAAAAGGTTTTTTTTTGAACCCAACTGAAACACTTGAACCAAAGAGGAAAGGTAGGAAGGGTGAGGGAAACGATAATTGCAGAAACCACATATCCCCCTCTGCCTCCTGTCCCACACAGTGATAATTATTAATTCTAAAATACATTTACTGTTTCACTATTCTAAGTGTAGTAAACACTTATTGTAGATAGTTTAGGAAAAAATAAGCACAAATATTTAATTTGCTTATAATTCTCCCAGTTAAAAATGACCACTTTAGAGTTATAATTTTTTTTTCTTTTTTGATTATCTTTTTTTTGGTGCGGCTGAAAAGATGGCTCAGAGGTTAAAAGCACTTGCTTCTCTGGCAGAGGACTCAGGTTTGATTCTCATCACCCATGTCTGGTGGCTCACAATTGTCTATAACGCCAGTCCCAGGGGATCTGACACCTTCTTCTGGCCTTCACAGGCACTGCATGTAGATGGGACACGTACATGCAGGCAAAACACCCACACACATAAAATGAAAAAAAAAAAAAAACTTCAGTTTTTTTCTCTTTGGAGTTCTTTTACATTGCTTTGCAGGTCACAGGAAAAATGCAGATGTTATTTCTTTGTTCCTACCTCCTCCTTCTTTGTGTCCATAAGTGTGTGTGTGTGTGTGTGTGTGTGTGTGTGTGTGTGTGTGTGTGTGTGTGTGTGTGTTACTGGGTATTGAACTCAGGGCCTCACACATGCTAGGTAAATGCTCTATCACTGAGCTACACTTCTAGTGTTTTTTGTATTATTATTATTGAAACAATTCCACTAAGTCACCCAGGAAGGCCTTAAACTTATGACCTACTTTTCCAGTCTCCTAAGTAATTGGAATTACAGACCTGAGTTACCTCGCCCAGACAGAAGCTTCTTTTTATACAAATATTGAGAAAGCATAAGGGCCCCTGTCCTTCTTCTGTTCAGGCGTTTCATTGGAGTTCAAGAGAGCTACGAAAATAACTCTTTTAAAGCACTGAAGTTTGAGAATGCACCATGGATCTGATGTCACCCTAGTATCCAGAACACTTGACTGTGACTCTTCTGGGTGACACAGACTCCATCCCACGGGAGGACAAATGATAAGAAGTGACATTGTGGATCCCCTGGAAACCCAAAGGGGAAAGCAGTGTTCGTTTAAAAGGGACATTCTTTTCCCAGGGGGTAATATAGGTGAATAAAAAAAAAATACAAAAGGGAAGGACATGAGCGCTTCTAGGTATTGTGGGGGAGACGGTTTACTGCAGATAAAAAAGGGAGAGCGTAGCCAGAGGCAGGGGCATCTGGGAAAGTCCAGAGTAAACATGACCCTGAGCTGGACCATGTGAGGAGGGGGTGTTAGGATTTTGCCCCCACTCCAGCTGCATGACTGCACATGCGCAGTTCAGGAGCTAAGCAAGGGGTCTTGTGTCCTACGTCATCAGTGTGCACTAAGTGATTAAGTATGTGTGGTGTGTTCATGCAATTTGGGCATGTGTGGCATAGTTCCATAAGGCTGCCTATGCATGTTCACGGGTATCCTTAAAAAGCTGGACACTGGATGCGGAGTCAACATGAGGATTGAGAAATGTTACTTCTGTTCCGGGCCGATCTACCCGGGCCACGGCATGATGTTCATCCGCAATGACTGCAAGATGTTCCGATTCTGCAAATCCAAGTGTCATAAAAACTTCAAGAAGAAGTGGAACCCACGCAAGGTCAGGTGGACTAAAGCCTTCTGGAAAGCAGCTGGCAAGGAGCTCACCGTGGACAACTCATTTGAATTTGAAGAACGTAGAAATGAACCTGTGAAATACCAGCGAGAGCTCTGGAGTAAAATCATTGATGCAATGAAGAGGGCTGAAGAGATCAAGCAGAAAAGCCAGGCTAAGTTTATAATGAACAGGTGGAAGAAAAACAAAGAGCTACAGAAGGTTCAGGACACCAAAGAAGCCAAGCAGAGCATCGATCTTATCTGGGCTCCTCTTGCAGGCAAAGGAAAGCAGCTGGAAGAAAAAATGGTCCAGCAGTTGCAGGAGGATGTGGACATGGAGGATGCTTCCTAATGGTGCCTCCTGCAACCCGCCCTGGGCACAGTGGAAACCAGTGGAGACTGTCAGTCCCTAAGTTACTGATTGGTTACATAAGGTCCCTCAGACAAAGGTGTTTCACGAGCTTCCCTCTTATACTGCAGCCTGTAGAAGCATCCATTGTGGGTGTTAGATCTCAGCTCAATGTTCTGCCTCACTGTGCTATGCTCACATAAACACAAAGGTTTGTGTGTAGATGAAGGCAAGAACTCTGGGCATCACATGGTTCGAGTTGTTGCTTAATGGCACCAGGCAAAATTTCTGTGCTGACTGTCTTGCTAGTGTGAAATCTGTCGTGATGTAATATTTTCCTTGCACTAGGACAGTCTGTTTATTAGGGTCATTGAAGCAGAGGTTGCAACAAGGAACTAACCATTCTCAGGACAACCTCAGTCTCTTGCTTTGCTTTAGTCTGGTTAGTAGCTTCTTAGAGTTGCATGCTGGCCGCATACAATGCTACAAGGCAGCTGAATTAGGCTGGGCTGTCTGCCCTGCTTCAGCCATTCCAATAGGCGGCCTGTGAGGGTGGGGGTGGGACGTGGTTGCATAAATTTTGCCGGAATGGTACCTTCTTACTGCTTTGGAGAATGCTCAATTTCAAGTTGTGACTTCTGGCCCAACAACCCTACCCCCCAGTTCTCTCTAGCCCAGCAATGGTCTAGAAGCCGAAGAATCTTGGTACTTTTTAAAATTTATTGTGTGGTTTTCTTTTTCATTTTTTTGAGACAGGGTCTCTCATATTATGTAGCTCTGGCTGTCCTGGAACTTGCTATGTAGACTAGGCTGCGTTGAACTCACGGAGATCCACCTGCTTCTGCCTCCTGAGTGCTGGGATTAAAGGTTTACACCATCACACCCAGCATTTTTGATTTCCTTAAAGGAAACAATTGTTTTTGGAAAATAGAATTTATGGATATTGCTTATTATTTGTACATAAATAAAGCCATTTCTAAAGTAAAAAAAAAAGCTGGACACTGACCCCTCCCATTCTCTTCTCTGGTCTCTCTCTCTGCTCTCGGCATGTGCTTCTCCCCAGGCCTGGTTCTTTTGCTCCCCAGCCCCCAATTTAAAGCTCTGATATTGGGTTTTGCCGTGGCGTATGCCTCATTACCTTTCCGAATGATAACCAGTGCTGCTTATCATTTTTAAACCAATGGGGGGGGGGTAGGGGGAGAGGAAAGCCGGACCAAGAGGCCAGGAGGGTAAAGGGCCAGAGAGCCAAAATGGCTGAGTTATAAAGGGAAGGGCAACTGGGGAAATGGCAGCCCAATGCCCTCCCGCCCCAACTGGAGAAATTTAGGGTAGGGGGTGGGGCATGCCAACCAGGAGTCCCTACCCAGTAACAGCTGGGGACTGAGGAATGCAGGGAGAACCTGGTGGCCATTGTCCACCTTAATATGTTAAATAGGAACTTCAGCTGTTTGTCCTAACAGTAGGGACTAGGTCTAACTGCCTAATCAACCACCCTGTGTTCTTATAAACAGTTTGGATACCTAACAGTTAAGCCTACAAAGTCACCAACTGCATTCCTCTATGGTGGACCAGGTCTGAGAAATATTTCTTTCTCCTCCTGGAAACGTAGCAACTACATTCAGGGAAAAAATAATAATACATGATTAATTTTCCTGATTTAGTGGTTTCTCTGAGAAGCAAGCCTATGTAGAAGTGGTTTGGGTTTGTCTGCCTCAGAGTTTTATTGACAATGATTAACCCCCTGTATTTGTATGATAAAATGCATTTATTTATCTATCTATCTATCTATCTATCTATCCACCTACCTATCATCTATCTATCTATCTACTTATCTATCTATCTATCTATCTATCTATCTATCTATCTATCTATCTATCATCTATCTCCCTATCTATGGGATTTATTAGTGTAGCTTGCAGGTTATGGTCTGACTGTTCCAACAATGGCTGTCTCCTGATGCAAAGTCCAAAAATCCAGTAGTTGTCCCATCCATGAGGCTGGATGTCTCAGATGGTCTTCAGTATATACCAAAATCCCAAAGAAATAGGGTCTTATGTAGTTGTTTTCAACTTTCCTAGAGCCAAGACCCTTTAATACAATTCCTCACACTGAGGTAATTATTAGTCAACTCAGAACCATCCACATTCCAGAACCTGGTGCTTCCTCATCCTTAAGCTGCCTTCGATGACTCAGTGCCAATGTCCCCTCCATCACTAATGGCCAACGCAACAGGTTTCCACTGCCACCACCATCACCATCACCATATTTTCTGTGTGCACATGCCCCATAACCCCCCTGTAAAGCCTGCCATCATGACCTGGTCTGCTGCTGTCCCCATCTCCGTCAGAGGCTGCCAATTTATCCTCTCCTCCCCAATAAGTCTCTTGCATGAGGTCTGTTGTATGATGTGGTTTTTGTGACATTCCTTGGCCCAGGATCACCAAGATACTCTTTTGCCACAAAATCCTTTCAGTGACCCCCCCAAACACAAAATTGTTTTAGTTGCTACTTCATAACTATAATTTTGCTACTGTTATGAATTGTAATGTAAATATTTTTGGAGACAGAGGTTTGCCAAAGGGGTCATGAGAACCACAGGTTGAGAACCACTGCTTTAATTGCTAGTAAAGGAATGAATTTGCCAGTGAGGGTGAGGGCAAGTAGGCAAAGAGCAAAAAACTTCCTTCTTCCATGCCCTATATGTAGTCTGCCAGCAGAAGGTGTGTCCCAGATTTAAGGTGGATCATCCCATTTCAATGATCCAGATTTAGGATGGGTCTTTCCACCTCAAATGATCTAATCAAGAACAATTCCCCATGGGTGTACCCTGCAGCTTGGGTTTTAGTGAATTTCAGATGTATTCAAGTTGACAAAGAAGAATAGCCATCACAACCCCTAAACTTTATTGTCTTTAGACCAGTTTTTTTTCTTGTGCAGAGTGCTTACAGACCCCATAGGATCTCTGAGCTCAGAGGGTCCTGAGCTATTGTCACATTAAGTGCATAAAGCACCGTGTTTCTTTTTAGAGGTCAGTATGTGGTGTGAAATAAGAATCACCTTGTGGCCTTCTAAGCTGAATATATGTACCAGTTTCAAGAGTAGGCTGCTATTGCCTTGAACGACTCTGTGACAATCCTGGACACTGCCAAGGAGTATCAGTTGCTCAGCACCAAGGAATTCTGAAACCAGTTTGAGTTGAAACTCACTGATATAAAGGTAATATTTCTGGGTTATTTTCTTCCTATGGCTGGGAAAGGGATAAAGGAGAGGGAATTTACCTGTTGCCTAGAAAGGTTCCTGTATTTATTGACCAGTGTTTTAGTTATAATTCTATTGCTGTGAAGAGACACCATGACTAAGGCAATTCTTATAAAAGAAAACATCTAACTGGGACTTGCTTACAGTTTCAGAAGTTAGTCCATTATCATCATGGGGCACACAGACAGACATGATTCTGGAGAAGTAGCTGAGAGTTCTACATCCTGATCTGTAGGCAGAGAGAGAGAGAAAAAAAAGAAAGAACCATTTAAAACCCCAAAGCCCACTCCAAGCAACATACTTCCTCCAGCAAGGCCACACCTGCTTCAACAAGTCCATACCTCTTCATTGTTCTAATCCTTCTCAAATAGTGCCATGATTAAGCATTCAAATATAAGAGCCAATGGGGGCCCTTCTTACTCAAACCACCATGACCAGGATGGACTCTACAGTTTTTTTTGTTTGTTTATTTTGTTTTGTTTTTTCGAGACAGGGTTTCTCTATGTAGCTTTGTGCCTTTCCTGGATCTCACTCTGTAGACCAGGCTGGCCTGGAACTCACAAAGATCCACCTGGCTCTGCCTCCCAAGTGCTGGGATTAAAGGCGTGCGCCACCACCCCGGCTGGACTATACAGTTTAACAAGCTTTCAGGTGGACTTTAGACACCTACCCCAAATGTCTTAGTAAACTGACCTTCCCGGTCTGAGCCAAGTATCAGGCATTCATTTCTCTTCAGATACTTATGAGTATCCTTATTATGTCATGTACTGTATTGATGCTAAGGATACAGCGGTGAGCAGAAATGGACATATTTCCCCATCACTCATAGACCTTACAGTTTAGTGGAACACTAACAAAATCATCACATAGAAATGTGTTACAAGCTAAGTGTTCTGAAACAGGGAGCCTTCCATGCAGAGTGCCTTAGCTTCCAGGACTGAAATGTCACCAGACCACGTCTATTAGCTTGAAAGCTAATACCAAAGAGATGGGAGGCAGATTTATTCAAGGGCTGGTATCCTGAAATGACAAGAGTGGCTATTGTTACCCCCAAAGACCATTTTAGAAAATACAAGTATATAAAAAAGAGCTTTTCTGTGGAGTAGAAGATGCAGATGGCAATGGGAAGAAAAACTTTCCATTGAAGTTGAAGATGAAGTGGGGTATTCATCTTCCAGAATGTATGTATTTTTAAATTATGACCAAAATAATATAATTGACCTGAACCTTCTTGGGCTAGTGTCTGTAATTTTTTTAAGACAAACATGCTACTTTTCTGAAAAAGTGATTTTCTTAGATGTCAAAGCAGTTTGCATGTTTTATGTTAACTGATGCACTGGATTAAAAACTAGGACCAGTGAAATTTTAGGAACATGAAGAGCATGCTCCTTCAGGACAAGGAGGTGGGATTTTCTCCTGTTATAGAGGTGCAGAGGGCATGGCTGGTTTGTAAGGGCCTTGACAATTAGGATTGACCACACAGTTTTTGTCTATTTAATATACTTGATTTATTCACACAAACATTCCTTATACTATTAATCCCACTGATTGAGAATATGACTACTTGTAGGCAGAGTTTTCCTGTGTTTCAGCAGCCCCTTTCCAAATAACAGACACAGTGGTTTAATATTAATTATAAATGCTCAGCTGATAGCTCAGACCTGTTACTACCTAACTCTTACATTTTAATTAACCCACATTTCTTATCTATGCTTTGCCACGTGGCTCATGGCTTGCTACCTCATTTTCTACACATCCTGCTCCCTCTGTGGCTGGCTGACATCTCCTCTGACTCTACCCTTCTTCCCAGTGTTCTCCTAGTTTGGTTGTCCTGCCTATAATTCCTGCCTGGCTACTGGCCAATCAGCTTTTTATTAAAGTAATCTGAGTGGCAAATCTTCACAGTGTACAAAAGAATTATTGCATACCTTTTCCCCTTTTTGTCTAATTAAAAAGGAAAGTTTTAACTTTAACATAGTAAGATTATATACAACAAAAACAGTTATTAAGTAAGAATTACAGTTATAATATCCAGTCCATTTGTATTTGACAAAATTAGAGGAAATGTTTCATTAACTATCTTATCTTTGTGAGTCTAAAGTTTTATACCTAATTTACCTTTTATCATGACTAAGAAAACTTTAACTATGATTATTTAGTCTTCAACTCTTTCAAAGACCCCAGAGGGGTCAAGTGTTACCTAATGACAAGAACATCTGGATGCTTAGACAGTCACCCAAGCTTCCTCTGTAACATTGGGGCATCCATCTTCAGCCTTCAGGCCTAGTATATTTGACAGACTTTTCTGTGAAGC